GTCTTGATCTGCTAAAGCAGATAGGGGTGTCTGTGGATACGTGGCTAAAGAGTGCAATGAACCAAGTGATGGAAGAACTGGAAAACGAACGCTGGGCGAGCCTTCCTGCCGTGACCAACAATGGCTCGTCGCACTTGGTACTGTTTGCAGTGTGTAAACTTGTTTTCCTTTGAACCTTCACTAGCATGGCTCCTATGCTATAGTACATAGATCACATTTAATACTGGGAGGCAGGTATTAAAAAACCTAGTGATTGGTCAGCTAACATTAGCACGAGAGAGCTGTGTGTGGCTCAAGTGAATCTAATTTCTGGTAGTTTATTCTGAACTAGTACAGGAATTGGGAGTGCTTTACCTAAAGTCTAGAAGGGACTAGAAAATAGGATTTCTAGGCTCTATATCCAGTTCTGTCTCAGATTTCTTCTGTGACCTTGGGCAAATCTCTTTTTATGTCCTCATCTCTACCTACCTTGTGCATGCAGAAGTTTGATTAAAGGTTTATATGGCTTTCTGTAGTGATTGGATGAAAGGTATAGTTAAAATTTTCAAAGCATCTGAGTGTCTTTGGCTGCTAAGGCACATTTTCAAAAATTATTTAGACACCCACTTAGGAGTTTGTCCAACTGAAAGTGAGCAGGACATAAGCTCTGAGTGCTTAAGGGTACGTCTACACATGCTGATTTGAGGCACACTAGCCATTTTTAAGGCACATTAAGAGCACAGATCTATATGTGCATGCCCTTAATATGCCTTAAAAACAGCTATTTTAGGTTATTCGCACCTAAATTTGATACCCGCAAAAGGCATGAATAGCTAAACCGCCTTAATGTACATGTAGACGTGCTAAGGCACATTAACGCAATGTATGTCGACTAACTTTAGTCCCAAGTTCGTCCTCACACCGCATTAATGTACCTTAGTGCATGCACATGTAAACGCGCGCCTAAATTGCCTTAATGCTCATTAGGCAAATGCACATTAAATGTAGGCACGCATAAAAGCACGTGTAGACATGCCCTAAGAGTATGAACGGTTGGACAATTTACTGCAGCACAAAAGGTTCTGGGGCTTTTACATGCATCAGCTGCCCCATGGGATGTACAGATCCTTTCTGTGGAATAAATGAAAATGAGGCCATAGTAATTTACTCCTCTTTCACTGCAGGTTGAGCTACCATGGGTAAGCTTTCATTTACTACAGAGTAAGAACATGGATGTAGGCAGTTAACACAGAGTAGCTGGCCTATGGTAACCCCCTCCCACCCCCATTTTAGTCCTGCAGTAAATTGTTCATTCATCTATGCCCTAAATCTATTTTGAAAATAGGATTTTATTCCCAAGTCTCTTAGATGCTTTTGAAAATGTTACCCAGCATACTTAAAGTTTAGCTCCAGGTGATATGAATGTAAGGTAAAAGTATGGTGATGAGTTCTGATCAGCTAGAAATGACGCTCATTGTTCTTGTAATGTCTGCAGACCTTTGCAGAACAGACAAGAAGGTCAGAGAGATCTCCCACGCAGCTTGGGGCCGGAAGCTTATTCCCACAAATCTTGAGTTTCAGAGGATGCAATTTTTTTTATCTAAATCAAAAGGGGGAATAACAAAATTTAAGCCAATAGATTTTCCTTCCCTCCAAAAGAATGCATCTCAAAATAAATTCTGTAAATAATTTCCTAAACCAAGAAATCCTGTTTGGAAAACAGAAATAACTGAGAAAGCGCTCTTAATCTTATTTTTGCCAGGCTGTCACCCTTGGCAGTGCAGTTAGCCTTCACCAGCAATAGACAAAAATAAAATTCCTGAAAGTTTAGTCACTTTGCCTCAAACAGGGTGTTAGATTGTAGACATCGCCTTAGCGTATGGCAGAACACTTAACCTTCAAAGGCTGCCGACGTCACAACCGGTGGGTGTGCTTTTCTTTTTAATTCCAGTGGACATGTTCCATTACAAGCTTCTGCTTAATTCACACTCTGTGTTAATGTTGTTGACAGCTACTTTTACCTCCACTGACCTCTGAAGTATAACTGGATTGAGGTTTTGCTTTTTGTGGTTGGTTTTGCAAGGAGACGGCCCCCTGGCTTTGAGCATAGCCTTCCTTAACTGCCAGCAAGAGAGAGAAAGAGCTGTTCAGCCAGGATGCATACACACAACTCATATTCCCACTTTTTTCTCTGATCCTTTAGTATGTTGGCCATTACCCTTTCAATGATCAAGTGTTGGCCATTACCCTTTTAATGATCAGGTGTTCTTCTGGCAAACCCTGGTGGAAGAAAGTCTCTCGTTTGAGACTCTGAATTTTTGTGGCAGTGTTAGCCAAGCTTCTGTTCAAGTAAAAATTCAGCGGATGCTTCCAGGATTTACCCTGTGCCAGGTAGAATAGAATTGGATGCGGACTCCAAACTATATTAACAATTATTTATATTGCAGGTTGTTCCAATCCCTGTTCTCATTACTCGGTCTCTGGAGGCTTTTCCCAGGGATGGTGTTATAATGAGAGAGAGACTCAAGTCACAGAATTCAAATCCAGCCCTGCAGACATCCCAAAGCTCAGGGGGTTCTTATTCAGTTTCATTTCAGGCCCCTTCTAGCTATAAAAGATGAGTGCATGCTACATTGCTATGTTTAACTGTGTGGTTTTTTTTTTCTTTTTCTTCTCACTCCAACCCACCTCCCTTTGCTGCCTGTTGTGCAGGCTGGATTCTTCCCAGTGCCCTTCCTCGGTCCAATCAGACACACAAACGGTTGGCTCCACATCTGAAGCCAGTGCCAGTGCCTGGCAGGCTGGCAGATGCTGGAGCGTGGGAGGCTGAAATCTAATTTCCATTTTTCCCCTTTACGCATGCACACGCCCTTGTATATAAAAGATCATATTGACCTTGGCAGCAGGATGGGGACAGCCCTAAGATGGTATTTCTTAAAGCTGTTGCAGCTATTATTTTGCTTGCCATTATAAAAGGAACTTACTGCTGTGCTTTTTGTATTAGATGCACTTTCACTTCGCTCACTAAGAATGTTAAAGGATCAGCCTTTCTACCTTTGTATTGCCACACATAGCAGAACAAAGCCAGGGTTGCAGTCGTCTTATTTTGTTATGAGATTGTTTGCCCAACACAGCTCTCAATAGATTTTCTTTTAATGAGTTGGAAGTAACACAGCAGCGTAAATGAAATCTTGCTATTTCAACATTTATTTAACCTGCTAAAAAACCACAATCGTGTAACAAGCCCAAGGAATCCACGTCCCGTCACGTAGCCAGTTGGCTGCCTTTCTGGTATAATGCCGAAATGCCCAATTTTTAGGAGAGAATACTAAATGATTTATTCCACTGTAGGTGCCAACAAAAGCTTTAGTCATAATTTTGTAATTTAGTGCCATCTGGAAAACATGTTTAGTACTACTGTTACATATTAGTATAACTGGGAACTCTGTTCTTCAATGAAGACAACAGATACATGCTAAATAGGATGCAGTCTATTTATTCTGTGAAAGGGGGAGAGAATAATTCCCATGTTTGTGTTCACATACGATTTAACCTCTACTCAGCTGTAGAGTCATAAAAAAATATATACCCACAAAAGTATACTTCCCAGGTGTTAGATTTACTGTGAACGGGGAGCTGGATTGCCTTGGTTTAGTGGGCTATAAAACCATTTACCTTTCAGGTCACTGTTTCCAGTTCAACCCAGATTGTTAGCTGTCAGCAGCCTTAGTTTGCAGTGTCTGTAGAGGTTTTGGGAAGGGAATGGATAGACTTCTCTGGTACTTTCTACTTGAAAAGGGGTTTGTCCAAGTCAAAGTTGAGGTGCAAATATAAGGAGGGTTTTTTCTGCTGTTGGTGGTCCTCCACCCATTCCAAGAAGAGGGAACTTCTAGATGGCAGTTTAGCCCCCCACATTAAACCTGCCCAAATAGATCTACAAATAAACTATATATTGGCATATTGATCTACACTAAGTCTGTATAGATATCCTGTTTCCTTTCTAAATATAACTCGCTAATTATTTTGATGCGCTATTAATATATTACTCCAGTATACCCAAGTTTATTCCTGCCTTTGGTTCATTTTTGCATACCTTCAGTATTGCAGGTGCCAATGGCTTTGTTCTGGATTTATGCAGACACTCATTGGCAGGTTGTGTGTAGAAAGTTAAACAAACATAGGTGTTCTGTGTTTTTAATAGTGCTTCCTCCTCTTTGTGTTACGTGTCCGCAGATGGATTCTCTTGGAGGAATTTTAAGCAGCCCACACACTGTGGATTAAAATGGCTTTTTTTCCCTTAGAAAACCAGGACCAGATGTTTTATGAACAAGTATTTCTAGACCTGATATGCTAATTCCATGATGCTTCATATGGCTGTCAGCTGCAGGTTTAGTAGTGGCTGCACCATTTTTAGGAGCTGTAAAGATTGTGGCTTTATTTTAATCTGCCGAGTGCCAAATTAAGAGCCAATATGTTAGCTAGATAGGATAATAAATACTATGCATTACAGCAGTCTCTTAGTATTACAGGTGAAATGGATGCAAAGTGGATTTCAGTGGAAATGAATTAGGAAGCTTTAATCATAGCAGATGAAGGGTGGAAGGGACCTCAGGAAGTCGTATCTAGTCCAACCCCCTGCTCAAAGCAGGACCAGCCCCAACTGCATCATCCCAGCCAAAGTCAGGTCAAAATAAATCCGGGCCTATGCACTAAATTGAATTGCAGTGAACTTGCCATTTATTTCAGTGACCTGGCTTCAAATATGACTCAGGTGAAAAGTAAAATTGAGCTGTTTGCTCTGAACGGAGGCCATAAATGTTGGTAACATCATAAAATCACCAGCCTGTATGTCCTTGTCCTGGAGATGGCCACCGGAGCTGGAAGAACAGGGATGTCACAGATGAGGATTGAGCTTGATTTGGCAGAGGAGTTTGGGGAAGCCGTCACAGTACCTGTCTGTCCCACTCCTGGCTCCTTTGCTGTGTTGCGAGCCACCTCGTGTCCAGGAGGAGCACAAAACCCACCTCCAAATTAAACTGCATAAATGAAGTGAAGGCGGCAGCTTTTCTAGCAGCGTTGCCCTTGATTTTGAAGGCCGGCGCCTTTTTCACGTGAGATTGAATGTTTATCCGAGACTGAATCCAGGCACAAAGCCAAAGTCAAGGGCTCATACTAACTGCATTTATAGAAACTTGTATTTTTCCAGCCTGTCCACTTAGCTTTTATTTTTGCTTTTTATAAACACTTTTTAATTATTATCCTTCCCTTAGGAACCTCTCACGTAAACTGTACTAAAAAAACTGAAGGGAGTACTTGTGAGGAAAGCATTGGAAGGAAAGTTGATTTTTCAGTTTAAGGTTTAGTGCTTTATTTTTCTGTCCCTTTCAGTTTGTACCTTATGGTCATAGGTGCAACACTCAGTGCATGTTTTTTGCCATCAAAGTACGTTTTATAACTCTGAAGGGTGGTGCCTGAACTTTGGACTTGCCCCATATAAATGTAATCTTTTCCAAACTCATCATTAGTCCAACAGTACTCTTACTGTGAAGGTTGAGCGAATGCTTAAAATACATGAGGCTGCTCTTCAGTCTGACAAAAATGTAAGTTGATAACTTGCATTTTTTTTGCTTCCGGATATTTGCTTGTGTGGGTGACTACTTTCTTGAGGTCATTTTGAGAACAAATATATTGATTTTTAGTGATGCCTTCCTTCCTTTGGTGTTTGCTAAAGAAAGAAACTTAAATTGTAGCTTTGCTCATTCCTGAACAGACTAGGAGGCTAGAAAGTTACTAAAGCTGGATGATTCATTTTGCTGTTTGTTTTCTTCCCTCTTGTTTCTGCCATTTAGTATACTCAGTTATTTTCATATCTTTTAACAGCTCAATGCTGATACAGAAAAGGAAGAAGGGGAAGAGTTTGAAGACAGCATGGATGTTTTTGATGATAGCAGTTCCAGTCCTTCGGGTACTCTAAGAAATTATCCGCTGACCTGCAAAGTCGTTTATTCCTATAAGGTTTGTATTTTTTGTTAAATGTCAGTCTCTTATCCATGGGAAAGCTGTCAGGCAAACAGAACAAACGTTTATGATACTAAATGTCTGGGGGAAGTTTGCTTGAGTAAGTAAATGTAATTATGAAACCTGTTTAATGTGTCTTATATTAAATAGGCAACCTATTACAGTATCATCTTAATAAAGTTAACAAACTGTTAGCAGCTGTAAATACATTTGTTACAGGGGTGTTGGTTGTAGCCGTGTTGGTTTAAGGGCAGAGGCAGACAAGGTTCTTTGGGTCAAACTGACATCTTTTATTAGACCAACTCAGATAGCTGGAAAAATTCTTCTTTGCAAGCTTTCAGGTATAACTACCCTTCGTCAGGCTGAGGAAGGGTGCTTGTACCCAAAAGCTTGCAAAGAAGATTTTTTCCAACTATTTGAGTTGGTCTAATAAAAGATATTGGATTTTACCCAAAGAACCTTGTCTGCCATAAATTTGTTAAGCACATTCGGCTTCAGTTCAACAAGGTGCTTAAAACGCATGCTAGTATAAAGAGACAAGTGTCCCACTAAAGTTAGTGGGAATTGCTCCCTATGTTAACAGTTAGGCATGTGTTTTAAGTACCTTGCTGCATCGGTGTCTGGTACATTTTGTATGTATTTCATACCTATGCATCTTTTTTTAGGCTGTGTGTATGCTAGGAGTGCTGTACTGGTATAGGAATACTGGTGCACTCTACTGGCAAGGTCACCGTTTTTGGCCAAGGCAAAGTTATACTGGTGAAAACATGGCTGTATTGACATCTGATAGCAGTGCTGTGTCAGGCAGAGATCACACCTCTTTGCATGCTTCACTGAAATAGCCGTGCCAGCAGAAATCAGTAGTGTCAACTTGGCCTTAACATAATAAAAATTACAGAACTAAATAGGCTTGCACATATTGGGGGATGTTTCTTTTGAACCAGCCCACCCTCCTTGGCTGGAAAGGTCCCTTAAAACTATCTGCCTATGAGCCAAAAAACCTTTACTGTTCCCAGAGGCATTTTTAAAGTATTCTGCATTAAAATGTTTTGCATTTATTATTCATTAATTTCTAAAAATTATCACTTGTGTGTGTTTCTCTGCCTGGTGTGTGTCATGCCATTCCTTACTTTGGACGTGACCTTCCTTTTGTTGTAGGCTTCTCAGCCTGACGAACTGACCATTGAGGAACATGAGGTATTGGAAGTGATTGAAGATGGAGATATGGAAGACTGGGTAAAGGTATTGTTTTCTTCGCTCATTTTCATCTCATTATATCATTTTGAAAGCAAGGGGGGAATCAGCACTTCTCATCATGGTCTTACTGCAGTGTGCAAAACCTAAGTCCTTTCCATCCCACTTGCTTACAGGCACGAAACAAAGCTGGCCAAGTGGGTTATGTGCCAGAGAAGTATCTGCAGTTCCCAACATCCAACAGCCTGTTGAGCATGCTGCAGTCTCTGGCAGCGTTGGATAGTCGGTCACACACCTCCAACAATTCAACTGAAGCCGAGCTAATCTCAGGCAGCTTAAATGGAGATTCCAGCGGTGAGTGTCAATAGAGAGTGCTGGCTGATGGATTTTATTCATGAAAATGTTGTGATGAGCATTGTCCACCCGGATTTCTTCTTCTTAACAGTGATGTTAGGGCAGGCACTGTCTTTCCTTGCCTGAGGGCAGCCATTCCTATCAATCACCATTCTCATATGTAGGATCTTCTTAATTTGTCCAGGACCTGCTGTGATTCCCAGCATTAAGCCAGCAAAAGAAAAATGAAAATCGTGTCCAGTGTAGCAAAGATGCCATGCTGTACACAGAGGAAATGCTCATTCTAATTTTTTTTTCTGTCTCCCATCTATAGTCTGTTTTGTGAAAGCACTTTATGATTATGAGGGCCAGACAGATGACGAGCTGTCCTTCCCAGAAGGAGCAATCATCCGTATCCTAAACAAGGAGAACCAGGACGATGATGGCTTCTGGGAGGGTGAATTCAATGGGCGTGTTGGGGTTTTCCCTTCTGTGTTAGTGGAAGAACTGACAGCCTCAGAAAATGGGGAGACTCAGTGGATTGGAGATATTCAGGTATGTAAAGAGTAAGTTGGTCGTGGGTTAAGCACTGGTGTGACCTTCTGGTGTTCCACAATGCCCTGCATATGGTCAAAGGGCTTCTCTACAGCAGCCCCTTGTAGCCTGTTAGTGTTGAGCTTTGACAGTCTCCAAATGCATTGTGGTGTGATACAGACAGTAGCTGCTATGAGGGTGTGGGGTGCAGAGTATGGAAAATGGATATTCAGGCTTACACTGATCATGGTCTCATAACGTAAAAGTGAACATTTACCTTTATTTTCTAAGCCTGCATAATATTTCTCAAATGATGCATGTTGGCAAATGTCACGGATTTGTGCAAAGAACAAAGGAGTGGTCAAGGAGGAAGGGAAATGAGCCACAGGAGGAAATTCCCAGTCTCCTTCCTGCAATTAATTTGCAACATTGAGAGATCAAACAGGATCTGGCAAAAACAGCTTTATTGGCTCTTACAGGTCTATTTAATGCTTTCACATCTAAGACTGTGCAATACCTTCACAGGTTTTTAGAGGGCAAGACAATTTAGCTGTAGGATATTAACTAGAATTTCATCTCTGATACATATTTTAAGATCATGGCATTTCAAAGATGATATTTTATTTAACCAGTTGATATCATCATGAAAAATTAAACACTTTCTTGCTTACGCCTGTGTTGCTAGAAATCAGAATTCACTGCCTTCACTGCAGAGTGATTTGTGTAGTTTTATTTTATTGTTGCTCTTGAGAAATGCCCATACCAACCAACCTGGGAAATAAGTTCAATCACATTACTAGTGATACAGCTCACATGTCCTGATGGCTTAGCACCATTAGATATAAAAATGTCAAAGTACAGGCTGTGTTGAAATCACTAGGAGCTGCTGTTTTTATGCAAGCAGTTTATAGTTTGGCCCAAATCAAAAAGGACACTGATGTTAATACCTCCTGACCAAATGTATATGTTTCTTTTGTAAAGCATCACATGCCCATGTGATGCTATATAAATATTAATACCAGTTTCAGCTTTATACTGTTGCCTTATTGCAGCTATGTGCCTGAATTTCATTATTCTTCCTTTTTCTCTCTGCATTTAAATGACACACACACTCTCAAACAGTAATAAAACTAATGATCTTCATGTTCAATTTTGTGTAGGTGTATTCAGAGAAATGTGCTCCCCCAGTTGATACATTTTTAGAGCAATCTTCAGACAATCTGTCTAGATTACCCCTGGAAAAGCAAGGGAAAAAATCTGCTCTCAGTGGCATCCTGTGATTTTTTTTTTTTTAATTTATTTTTTTAAATCACTATCACATATCTCGGCTTTCCTTTCCAAATACAGCTGACAGGCATTTTTGTTTTACAAACACAATTTCTTACTAGATGAAAACAATTGAGATACAAGTACATGTCTGTGTGCTCATAAACTTGGCTTAAAACAAGTAAAAAGCCTCTCCTCTTTTTGAATACAGGTGTCTCCATCTCCAAAACCTCACAATTCCCTTCCACCGTTGCCACTGTATGACCAGCCACCCACGAGCCCTTACCATAGTCCAGATAAAAGAGGCTCCCAGAGCTTTCCCAGATCACCATCAACTAATGGTAAGAGATTTTTCTACTAATTCAAGAAACACAACATCCAAATGTTCGTTTGAAATAAAAAATTCCACTTGCAGTGAAAGCATGTTTTTTAAGTTGGGGGGGTTGACTAGTTCAGTAACGCTGCAGTGGTTTGTTTTTTATTGTTCACTCTTTCAGAAAACAGTTTCAGTTCGGAGTCTCCTGGATTTTCGCAGCCTCCACGGCTTACTCCGGAAACTTCCTATGGCAAACTGCGACCTGTAAGTCACAAGTGTTGCTGTGCTTAATAACGTGATAATACAGAAACCTGTCCAGATCCTTAGGTGGCATCAGTTGTCATAACTTGAGTGAAAGCAGTGGGACTGACTTTGTTGATGCACCCACTCAGAATTTAACCTACCATATTCCACAAATACTATTAATGCAATTATTATATTTTGGGTTTTGATTATCACCAAAAACCCCCCCACTAAGGAAGGCTCGTTCCCAGATTGGGGACTGTAAAACAGGTGCATCAAAAAGCAACGGACACATGGATGGGAGCCAGTTAGATAATGAAACAGATTAATAAAATAAAGCTGCACCTATATGAGCAATGCATTATGACATACGCTGAAAGGCATCCTTGGATCCCCATAATTCCCTCTCTGCCTTACATATATTTATACCGTTAGCAAAAGAGATGTTTAGATCTTGCAGGGCTTACATTGCTACCTCATGGTTTGGAAGATTGTTTATATTGTATATATCTTATGCTCTTTATGAGCAATACTGTTGTCCATGTATGCATGCCTTACAAATATAGAGAAATAGGAATCAAAGAAAAACATAGGTGCGAAAACAGCTGGATCATGGAATTTGCACTAATGTTTTTCAAAGATTTTGTTGCCAAACACCCACGTCCAAACCCAACACCCGAGACTGCTGGGTGTTGAAAGGCAAGTCCACTTGCCAACAATCTGTCTGGACGCATAAGCCTGTTGGTTTCTTTGTGTTGGGGTTAAGTTCATTTAAACTCAAGTTAATTGAGCTCAGGTTGCATCAAGGGAAGTTTAGGTTGGATATTTGGAAAACATTTCTCACTGGGAGGGTAGTGGAGCACTGGAACAGGTTATCCAGAGAGGTTATGGACTCCCCATCCTTGGAGGTTTTTAAGACTTATCTAGACAAAGCGTTGGCTGGGGCTGGGGCTGG